CCGATGTGGGGCTCGATCCCAGGACCCTGGGATCATGACCTGAGCCGAAGGCAGATGCTTAACGACTGAGCCACCCAGGCGCCCCTGACACTCAGTGATTTTTAAAAAATATTTATTTATTTTAGAGAAAGAGAGAGGGAGTGGGAGCACACGAGCAGGGCAGGGGGCAGAGGGAGAGAGAGAGAGAGAGACGCAGACTCCCCACTGAACGTGGGGCCTGATGTGGGGCTTGATCTCACAACCCTGAGATCACAGCCTGAACTGAAATCAAGAGTTGGGTGCTTAACCAACTGGCCATCCAGGTGCCCCAGCACTCAGTTATTTTTAATATTATAACCTGTTTGCACTTTTTTAACATGAAGAAATAAATGATTTTTAGTAAATCAGAGATTTTTTTCCTCCATTATTCACTCCTGTACATTAGTTCTTTCATTCCTTGTCATCTAGAAGTATCATTAAATATGGGTATAATGGAAAATAAACTTCAAATGTTTGCCCACTATTACTTTGTATAGTCATATGACCTGGTCATTGAATTTATTTCATATTTTTAAAAAATGTGTCCATTATTCAGAGGGTTGATTTTCTTTCTGTTTAATGCTTTCGCAACCCAGGACAACAGTTAGCAGCCATCACTGCCTGGGATCCCTCAGCCACCAATCTCACTGCTCATATTATTCTAGTAACCCCATTTGGTGGGTAATAGGCTGTTCTTCCTCTTCTTATATAACTTTCATTGAAGAAATAGTATATGCAAGTGTGCTCCATGTGCATGTTGCTTTTGCTTTATGTAAATTGCTACATGGATTTTGATTACTTGCATTTTTATAAATTATAAGGTTTGTTGCTTAAGATTCATGTAGTTGTTCATAAAGTTGGATTTAAGTTCACAGTTCAGTAGAAGACAGTGAGTGAGGGTCAGCAAATAAAAGGTGGGAGTGAGCCTGTGTTCGACTTTTGGAAATTGATCTGTGCTCTGGATTTTGAAAGTAAGAGTGATTAATGAACAGATCTACAGCATTGTGTAGAGGACTCTATATTTTTTTGAGATTTATTTGTTTATTAGAGAGAGTGGGTACACACACGGGGTGGGGAGGGGCAGAGAGAGAAGGAGAGGGAAAGAATCTCAAGCAGACTCCCCGCTGAGCGCAGAGCTTGACATGGGGCTCAATCCAACAATCCTGAGATCATGACCTGAGCCAAAACCAAGAAACCAAGAGTCGGAAGCTCAACGGACTGAGCCCCCAGGCGCTGGAAGAGGATTCTTTATATTTCTGTCTTCAAGTAGGTCAGCTTTCAAAGTGAAGTTGAAAGACTTTTGTTATTATAGAGTGTTTTTGCTTTATGTCTGTGCTTTTGATTATTTTGCACTGAAGTAGAATTTCTATTTAGTATTCCGGTTGTACTGAAATTTACTGCTGTCTGAAAGAAATTTGAAGCTTATCACGGAAGACTTAAACTCATGGAGAAATTGTCAAACTATCTAAATCTTTCAGTGTCCAAAAGTTCTTGTAAGATGTGTAGGGTGATTATTTTAGAAAAAAGTATTACTTGTTTTTACTTATAGGTAAAGCTTGCTTACTTATAGAAAAAAAGCACCCCAAAAGAATTAGATTTTTCATTAATTTAGAATGTTTCTATAAAGCAGAAGGGAAGGGAACTCTTTTTTTCCTGCATTTTTGGAAGGAGATTAGTATATTTCAGGAAAATCAATGTGTCTTCAAAAACTGATTCTGATTTTGTCAATGGTTGTCCAATTAGCGTATATTACTTTATATGGCTCTCAGATTTCTGTATGAAGTTTTTTGATGCTTGTAAGTTCAGTGGCAGTTAAATCCTTTTGTAGGAGAAATAGTTGAAGGTATCTTGATAAGAAATAAGGTAGTGCTCTTCTTGTTACTCCAAGCCTTAAGCTGAGAGATGTGTTTGCTGTTCTGCAGGCGTGCTCATCCGTGTGTCACTCGATGTCAGATACACATAGACTATTGTTTCTATCAGTTTTGAAGGAGAATCTGTGTCAGTCATTAGAGTAACTGGGAAGATGTAGGGTTTTTTTTTAAATTCATATTCTCACCCCTCTTTTTTTGTGCATGTGCAAGTGTCCTACATTAATAGAAGATACATTTTTATATTTACTGTACCATTTTCTTCATCTTGTCTTGTTCTCTAAATTATCATATTTGAATATTTTTTTATTAGCAACTCGAAGTAGAAGCCGCACCAATGTGCTAATGGACTTACATATGGACCATGAAGGGTCATCTCAAGAAACCATCCAGGAAGTACAGCCAGAAGAGGTTTTGGTCATTTCCTTAGGGACAGGTCCCCAACTCACTCCAGGGATGATGTCGGAAAATGAGGTATGAATGTATTGTTAATTTAACTTATAGCCATCAATATTAAGGAATTAGCTTCTTTTTTTTCTCATTCATGGTCTCTTGCTTCTGTAAGTCAGTATGCATTTAATGAGTGCATTAAATGCCAGACTCCCTCTGAATAGTTCTAGGGGGCCTTTCACATTAATACATTGAATTGATAGCATGGTAGCTGGTGATTAGGTCTACACCAAGAGGAATTTTCCTCATTGTATAGAAGAGACAGGAAGCCAGGAAATTGTAGTATGGAAATTGAAAAGACTTTTCCAGTGACCTGTAGGAAATGTTTTTTGTTTCTTTCATGATGTAGTGGTATTCTTGCTTTAGAGAGCTAGATTCTTTAGAAATACTGTCTGTTCTTTGGTTGGTTAGGAAGAAATGGAAGACAGAACTGAAAACGAAGAAAGTAAAATATTTTGAAGAAATGGTCTTGGGATGTGGGCATCGCTTTTAAGATATTTGTAAACAGAAGAGCTTGGGACAGAGGCAAAAAGAATGAAGAAATAAAAAAGAAGCAACATTTTATATTCAACACGGACTGCTTATTAGTTAAGAAAACCTATTCATGGGGTGCCTGGGTGGCTCAGATAGTTAAGCATCTGCCTTCGGCTCAGGTCATGATCCCAGGGTCCTTGGATCAAGTCCCGCATCGGGCTCCCTGCTCAGTGCAGAGCCTGCTTCTCCCTCTCCCTCTGTCATTCCCTCTGCTTGTGCTCTCTGGCTCTCTCTGTCAAATAAATAAATAAAATCTTAAAAAAAAAAAACAACAAACCTATTCATGACCTGGGACGAAGGGACCAGTTCTAGTGGTCGATGAAATGATGGTAGTGGTTGATACAGCCGTATTTGGAACTGTGGCGTGACCGTTAGGAAAGAGTTCTGTCAAACTCCAGAACTCTGTACACACACACACACACACCCCCCACAAATGAGCTGGCAAAAACTGTCTGAATTAACTTTTTAGGAACTCTGGAATGTAATAAACTTATAACATCTAGGGGAATGTTGAATGAGGAAAAGCAACTGCTGAATTTCAGTCAGGGAGCTCTGTGGCATTTTACCTTCCCGTGTTAACCTTCCTCCAGTTCCCAGCTCTGGCAGCCTTGAATCCCTGTGCAGGGAAATATTTTCATTATGGTATGAGCCTTTTGTTTGCTGTTAATCTTATCATTCTCTAGGCCTTTAGATAGATTTTTCCTGAAGATTCTTTGTACGTTGCTCACTATGAGTTTAAAGTACCAAGTTATCTTAAAAATACAAAATGTAAAAATTTTATGTCTGCATTTAATTTCAAGCAAATAGGAAAATAATTCTTTCTTTCTTTATTTATTTATTTGAGAGGGAGGGAGGGGGGAGGAGCAGAGGGAGAGGAAGAGATTATTTTATTTTTTAAAGATTTTATTTATTTGAGAGAGAGCACCAGCAGGGGGAGGGGAGAAGGGGCAGAGAGGGAGGGAAAAGCAGACTCCCCGCTGAGCAGGGAGCCCAACATGCTGCTCTATCCCAGGACCCTGAGATCATGACCTGAGCCGAAGGTAGACGCTTAACCCACTGAGCCACCCAGACACCCCGGGAGAGAGAGAATCTTAAGCAGGCTCCACACCCAGTGCAGAGCTGGACGTGGGGCTCCATCTCACAACCCTGAGATCATGATCTGAGCCAAAAAGAGTCAGACGCTTAACCAACTGAATACCCAGGCACCCCAAAATAACTCTATTTTTGAATGGCTTTTTAAAAGCATCACATGAATAAAGGTGTAGAGCCATTAAAAAACCCTCTAATTTACTCATTTAAATGCAGGGCCAAAACAGCACCTAGAGGGTTTTGGGTTTTTTAATTTTTCTTCTTTTTAAGTGAGGAGACTATTCTTCCTTCATATTCTGCCAACAGCCTAGAATCTCAGTGGCTGTGATTTCGAGTTCCAGGTGTGCTTAAACATGCTGTTACACTTTTAGCAAAGCACTCAGTTCTTCATTAGGTTGGAGATACATGTTTCCAGTAGAGTTATGAGGCTTGTATGTAGTGAAAAGTAATTCTGTTATTTGGAAGTCATCTAACAAATAGAAACCTTGTAAAAAGGCCATCAGCTCTAAGCTAGAGATGGCTGTGAAGTCACACTTCAGCTTCTGGTATGGACTTTTGTGGCTGTCTATATGGTGATCGAGACAAGGTTCAAACTGGATTGATTGAATTCTGGTGCCTACAAGATAATTTGTTCCTATGTTTTCTTCCTGTTAAATTAGCTTATTAACTTTCAAAAAAATGTACTGCAAATTTAATGTCATTTTGCCATGCAGAATGCTTTCTGTGCATTTTTTAATTTAATCCTCAACAACTCCATGGCATGAATACTGTTACCATGACTCTTTAAAGATAAAGCTTAAATCACTTACCCAAGATTACATAGTTGGCACATGGCAGAGCCAGAAGGACCACCAGCTTGCTGATTCCAAAGCCTTTTGATTCTTAGGATCCTACCCATTACTCACTATACCTGATTGCCTGTTCAATCTCTGATACCGGGTGATGGAAGGGCATAGGTTCACTTTTGTTTTAACTGATCTACTTTTATTCTAAGGGTACTTAAAAGCTTGATCAGAATCTTGTGAATGGGTTTTTAGTTAAAAATGAGAATTTTAAGATTAAGAAGAACGTAAATATGCATTTGCTGTGGTCTGTTTTCCTATTAGTAATCTTTCAGTTCTGATAAACCAGTGACATTTTATTTTTTATTTTTTTATTTTTATTTATTTATTTTTCTGGCATTTTATTTTTCAGGTCCTAAACATGCAACTTTCAGATGGAGGACAAGGAGATGTCCCTGTCGATGAAAACAAACTCCACGGTAAACCTGATAAAACCTTGCGCTTTTCCCTCTGCAGTGATAATCTGGAAGGAATATCTGAAGGTGAAGGGTTACTTCATTCAAAGAGTTGTGTGATTCAAGTAATACTTTGTTTTGTGATCTTTAAAGGAGCCTTATAAATTATAATTATACCATCTGTTCCTCAACCTGAGGAGAGTAATGAAGTTTTCTTCTAATGACCTTGAACAGTTGGCTATAAAGATTGTTTCTGGAATAAATGAAGATTGCAAGAAAAAAATTAAAAAAGAAAAAGATTGCAAGAGACCTTTGATCATATAAAATGGAGAAGATACAAGTCTTCATTGAGGCTTGAATAATGCCAAGTTTCTCTAGTATTAATTAATGTATACCAAAGCTTATGGAGCTCCTTTAGAGGGATATAGTGCATGTCTAGATGGGAAAAATGGACTCACTAGTATTTTAGGATGTTGTGTATACTTTTAATGTTCTGTATTTCTTTATTCACACACATACACCTTTATGAAGCAGGAAGATACAATGGAAATGGAATAAAATTAGAAAATTAAAAGCGTAGATTGTGAAGTGAGAATTTGTCATTTCATGTATGAGGACAGACTTTTTTAATGAAGAAAGTTCAGTTTACTATCTTTTTATTTTTTTTAAAGATTTTAATTTTTAATTTTTATTTTTATTTATTATTTATTTTTTAAAGATTTTATTTATTTATTTGACAGAGAGAGACACAGTGAGAGAGGGAACACAAGCAGGGGGAGTGGG